TGAAAGACAACTGAAAATTCTATGAAGAAAAACCAAGGACATGTATAAATTTTATTTTGATCAAAGTGACAAGACCACAAAACACCTGGAAATAAATGTAGATGTGTCATAGTTCTGAAATAGCCACTTTGGAAATCAACGACTCTGAATGATTTAGAAGAAAAAAGTAGCTTTAGCCAAATACCATGCAAGCCCAGATTAGTGAAGACACTTAACACTTTCTACCTTATGCTTCTAATTATTCTATGTAAATATAATCCTAAATTGGTGACCCATGTAGGGTGACCAGTCTAATAAATGAGCACACTTAGAATTCCATACTTGCTTGTTTTCTTCATATCTAATTTCAGCGAAGTAAGAGAGATATACGTATGTGTCCTTACTATCACGTTACTACATTTTTGATTCAGTATTGACAGAAACCCTATCAATGTTTAGGTAGATCCACAACCCCCAGTTGAGATAACCCACTAGCTGCATGATCAGAGAGGTAGAAAATAAACTTCCCTCAGAAGGACAGTCTTAAAATTCACAATGACCTTGCATATTAGCAGGTGTGACTCATCAGTATCTTCAGCTACCACCAAGATAATAAATAACTTTCCCCTTTGGACATGGAATAGAACTAGGTGCAAAAGATAAACCAGAAACCACTTCCCCATTTGTCTACTTTAAAGAGTTATTGACAATGACTTTGGTTGCATGCTAGAGTCACCTGGAGATTTTACAGATTCTGATACCCAGATCTTGCAAGCCCAGGACCAATCAAATCAGAATCTCTTAGGATAGGACCTAGCACCAGGGGTGTGTGTGTGTGTGTGTGTGTGTGTGTGTGTGTGTGTGTGTGTGTGTGTGTGTGTGTGTGTGTCCCCACAATCAGGGTTAGGTTTACAAAGGTTCATTATGCAGGTATCCTTGTTGATGAGGTGTGCCCCGCCTCCAGCAGAATCCCTCTACTGCCAATCTTTTTCTTATAGTATTATGATAATTGATCAAGGTCCTCTTATGAGTGAGAACGTGTAATACTCAGTTCTTTGTTTCTGTGATACATCACTCAGTATTATAGACTCTAACTTCATCCAGGTTGCTGTGAAGTTCATGATTTTTTTCCTTTATGGCTGAGCAATATTCCATCACATATATATACCACATATTTTTTATCCAATCCTCTTTCGATGGGCAGTACAGTTGGTTCCATGTTCTTGCTATTGTGAACAGTGCTACAATAAACATACGTGTGCAGGTATCTTTTTCATAGAGTGACTTGAGTTCCGTTGGGTATATTCCCAGTAGGGGGATTGCAGATATGAAAGATCAATTTTTAGATTTTTTAGGAATCGCCATACTGTTTTCCACAGAGGCTATACTAGTTTACACTCCCATCAACAGCGTACAAGTGTTCCCTTTTCATCACATCCTCTCCAGCATGTGCTGTTTTTTGAGTTATTGATGATGGCCATCCTGACTGAAGTTAGGTGGTATCCCAGTGTAGCTTTAATTTGCATTTCTTTGATGACTAGTGAGGATGAGCATTTTACCATTTATCTGTTGGCTGCTTGTATGTCTTCTTTTGAAAGTGTCTATTCATAATCTTTTGCCCACTTTGTAATGGAGCTGTTTGCTTTTTTTTTTCCAGCACTTTTGAGTTCCTCATAGATCCTAGATGTTAAGCCTATGTCAGACATACAGTTGGCAAATATTTTTTTCCCAGTCTGTAGGCTGTCTCCCTGCTCTCTTGATGGTTTCTTTGGCTTGGCAGAAACTTGTCAGTCTATTTTATCTCTTATGGTATGGGCACTTGGGGTTTTTATCAGGAATTGGTTGCCAGTTCCAATTTCCATCAGGGTGTCTCCTGCATTTTCTAAGGTTCTTATAGTTTGAGGTTTTATTTTTAGGTCTTTGATCCATTTAGAGTTGATTTTTGTGTATGGGGATAGGTAGGGGTCTTGTTTTAACCTTCTGCATGTGGTCAGCCAGTTTTCCCAGCACCATTTATTGAATGGGTTCTCCTCTCCCCAGTGGTTGGTGGTAGAGGCTTTGTCAAAGATGAGTTGGTTGAGATTTGAAGTTTTGCTTCTGGAATCTCTATACTGTTCCATTGGTCTATATGCCTGTTCTAGTACCATCACAAGGCTGTTTTGATTATTGTAGATTTATAATAAAGTTTAAAGTCTTGGAGTGTGATACCTCCCGCTTTTTTTGTTTTGTTTCTACTGAGAGTTGTTTTGGCTATTCGTGGTTATGTCTCCATGTGAATTCCTGTATTGTCATTTCCAGGTCTGAGAAGAATGCTGCCATTAATTTACTGGGTATTGCATTAAATCTGTAGATTGCCTTGGATAGGATGGACATCTTAACAATGTTGATTCTTCCAATCCATGAGCATGGAATATTTTTCCATTTGTTTGTGTCATCTTTGATTTCTTTGAGTAGTGTTTGTAGTTTTTGTTGTAAAAGTCTTTCACATCTCTGATTAGGAAGATGCCAAGATATTTCATTTTTTGTGTGGCTATTGTGAATGGGATTGTGCTTTTCATTTGGGTTTCTGTTTGTTTATTGTTGGTGTAAAGAAATACGACTGTCTTTTGCACATTTATTTTATGTCTGGAGACTTTGCCAAATCCTTTATCAGTGCAAGGAGGTTTTTGACAGATTCTCTTGGGTTTTCGAGGTATAGAATCATGTCATCTGCAAAGAGGGATACTTGACTTCCTCTTTTCCTATTTGGATACCACGCAAGCAGTTCTTTTTGAGAACAACTGGATTAAATGAAATAATGCAGGTGCCTGGCATACCTTTGGTGTCCAATGCATGTATGCCCCTCCTTTAAATTGCTTTCTGCTACTTCTACCTCCCCCTTTCCTGAATCTGCACAGGAGTAGCATTGTGTCTGTCTTGGTCTTCCAACATGTATCATAGGAGATTGCCTCAGAGTTGGAGAATTCATTTTTGACTTCACGCTGAAAAAGGCAGAACTCTCTTCTATTCTCACTTTTAATGTACCATCTCATCATTTATTTTATTACTTTATCTTCCAATATTACTGAACACTTTTCACCTATAAGTCTCAGAATCTCTGGATTTAAGAAGAATTGTGACTTCTTCATTCCTAGGGATTTAATTTAGCCAAAGCTTTTTGAGCACTTCAGAAAAATCAGGGTGGAAATAAAGTTTAAGGAACAAAAGGGATTCCTAAAAATAGGATACAATATCCATTTCAACTAAAAATGCCTTCATCTTTTCCAAGCATTTTTGAACTGTTAAACATTTTTAATAAGCTTCCTTAAGTGTCTTGCTGAGAAATGAATAAATTACACTTGTTTTCATTAAAAAAAGAGAGATCTTTTTCCATCTTTTCTGGCATTGTTGAAGGAGACAAAAAGGAGACTAAAACTTGGCAAAGGAGTACATTATTAGTGACATATTGGTCACAGATGTGCTGGTAGAGCTACGTTTTCTTCCTGCGATTAGTATTTTAAGTGCCCACAAATTACAAATGAAAGTACAGATAACTTCTTTACAAAAGTGAGGAGTGAAAAAAAATGTTATTTTCAAAATCTTCATTTTTAAGCTATTCTAAATAAGTTTTTATGAATAGGAAAATGATACATGGCCATTTGCTAGTTATTCTTTTAAAGGAGAAGTAGCACTGAATTATGCCACATTTTCTTAACATTATTAATTCCAAATATCAAGTAAAGATACCTGGAGATACTCTTTGGTAATACTTGTGAATGATAATATTTCCTTTCCTTAACAAGTCTTAAGAAACTCAAGAAGACAAAACTCAAGAGGTAGGAGGGAACTCTTTAGAGACTTCATGGCTCAAATCTGTAAGCCTTTGTTTGTTTTTAATTTTTACTTTAAAGATGTGGGCACAATTCAGGATTAGGTATACAAGTAGTCATCGTACAGGTAAAGTTTGGGCCTCCCTTTGGTCCCCACTTTGCCTGGTTTGAGATCAGGTGTCCTTATTGATGTTATGTGCCGCCCCTCGCTCCCCTGGCAGTGTCCCACTACTGCCAATCCCTTTCTTATAGTATTATGGTAAATGTTCAGGGTCTGCCATTAAACTGAAAAGCTTGTGCAAAATGTAAGAAACCATCAAGAAAGCAGGGGCATAGCCGGCCTTTGAAGTAAAGTATGAGGAGTTTGGCCAAATTCTACTTGCTTGCAAAAAGTCCTGAAAGGACTTTAAGGAGAGTATCGACAAGTTGATTCTGAAAACAAGGCTAGGATTCACCTGGGAGGAAATGGTATTGGCATCAGGGTGCCCATTAAGGTAGCTGTAATGGATGAGTGTAATTCCAGACCCAAGGCTGTGACTAAAAGGATGTAATGTAAGGAAAGGTATGTTGTAAACAGACAAGGATCAAGAAACAGATTTGACAGACATTAAAATGAAAAGAGCAAACTAAATCTTTATTATAAGACTTCCTCAGAAATTTTTCCTGGAAAAATTTTTTCAGGGAAAACTAGCCATGGGAATAACTCCTAGAGGAATGACAGATGCCTCGATTTTCACGATGTTTAAGTTGAGCTAATCGGTTTGAAATGTTATGTAAGCCGAAAGTGATGTGAAATTGAACAAAAATATTAATGTATTACCCGTGTAAGAATCTGAATTATGACACAGAAGAAACAATGTGGCCTAGTTTCCTGATATATAGGTAGAAAATTACTATCAATTTGCATTTTTAATTGAGTAAGAATATACATTTTATGTTGATTTAATGATTTGATGATTAGGATGAAAGGTGGCTTTAAATCAGGAGCTTGTAATATGATTTTCAGCCCCAAAGCTGTTTAATAGTACTGTCAAGGGAGTGTCAGTGTTTGATGGTAATCCAGGGCTGTCTGGTATCTTGTGTGTTATTCAGTTTTATAAGTACAAGACGTCATACTATACAGCTTTTTACAAGTAAACCTGTAGGAAAGACTTCAAGTTTTTTTCATTCTCAATGATACATTGGTTTCTTGCTTCCCATTTCCTTCCCTAGGAAAGTGACAATATTAGAGGACCCTGATCAGAATATTCACCTGAAAAACTTGTCTCTCCATCAGGCAACCACAGAAGAAGAAGCTCTGAATTTGCTTTTTTTAGGAGACACCAACAGAATGATTGCAGAGGTAATAAACTTTTCTGTGCAAGTTGCATTTCCAATAGTTTCAAGTATAATCGAATTTCAGAGGCAGTAAAAACTTTAAAAACAATCTCGTCCAAATCTCATGTTGCAGATAAGGAAACCTAGATCCAGAGAAGTGGGGAGACTTTCCCAAGGTCACCCAGCGGGTTAATCTAGGCCTCTGAATTCTCAACCCACTGCTTTTTTTACTTTAATGTGTTATCTAACTTTTAGTTTTTATTTTCAATTTTATACATATTGGTTTCTAGCTAATCAGTGACAACTCATTGAAGGACTTAGCTATAGAAACTTTTGCATACTTTCTAAAATTTAAAAAAACACAGTTCACCCTTCCTAACCACAAATCATCCTTATATTGGCATGTTTACATATCTATATATTTTAATTTAGTGGATTAATATTTACCAAGTATTTACAACAATGCATTGAACACAGAAAGTACTCTATGTATTTGTAACGATGATTGGCAGATCTGGGAACCACACCATATTGTATAATATAAGTATGTCTCAGTGAGATAGTAGGGACATACTTACATTAAAAATTATTTGTTGTTAATCTGGCATTCAAATTTAATTGAGTACCTATATTTTATCTGGGAACTCTACACAGGAGCCAAGAGTGGCCCAGCTTGATGGGGGCCCAAACTTTCTGATTGGAGATGGAGAGTCCTGAAGTTCTCAACCAGCCACACCATGGTGAAAGGAACAGGGTGGTGCTGGTGATGGTGGTGGTGTGGAAAACAGTTCCCCAAATGAATAGCTTACTGTTTTCACTGGCACTTTCTTTTCTTCAGCTATGTTCCCAGAGTTCCTATGTTTTACCTTGTCTCTGATAGCAAGTAGTAGGCAAGGAGAATAAGCGGAGAAGGTAAATAGTCTAAGAAAAATCTCCATCAAATGACCTTTCTTCAGTCCCACATCTGCCCTCTGGAGTGTACTCACCTTAGATGCTAGATAGATCAATGAAAACCAGACTCAGATAGTGAAAGCATGGTTTTGGCATCTGTTATTGTTTGGGACTCTTAGTTTTTGTTTCTGTTGTAGTTGTTTACCAGTTCTGTATCAATACTAACTTCCATAGGTAGAGTTTATGTGCCACATATATGGAGCTAAGGACTCTTAAGTTGTTATTTTCATTTGAGGAAATTTTACACAGTTTTCAATTTCAAAATATTTTGTTTTGCTTTACAGCATTTTGTATTTGTGCTCAGTGCTTCCATATTTAGGCCATGTGATCATCTGTGATACTCACATTTGTCATAATAATTGAGGATTAACAAATAAAGGCTGATTAAGAATTAAGGCATGTATCACCTCACACCAGTCAGAATGGCTATTATTAGACAAAGAACAACAGATGGTAAGGTCGCAGAGAAAAGGGAATGCTCATCTACCATTGGTAGGATTATAAATTAGTTCAGCCTCTATGGAAAACAGCATGGAGATTTCTCAAAGAACTAAAAATTGAATGACCATTTCACCCAGCAATCCCACTACTAGGGATCTACCCAAAAGAAAAGAAATCAATATGTAAAAAAGATACTTGTACTCATATGTTTATTGCAGCACTATTCACAGTAGCAAAATCATGGAACCAATCTAAGTGCCCACCAAGAATTGACTGGATAAAGAAAATGTAGTATATCTACGCCATGGAATACTATGTAGTCATAAAAAATAATAAAATCACATCCTTTGCAGCAACATGGATGGAGCTGGAGATCATCATCCTAAGTGAACTGACTCAGAAACAAAACAAAAACTAAAACACACATGTTCTCACTCATATGTGGGAGCTAAGTGGTCACAAAGATGTACATAATAGACACTGGGGACACAAATAAAGGGGGAGAAGGAGATGGGGGAAGAGTTCAGAAATTACCTATGGAGTGCGATGTTCACTATCTGGGGAATGGGCCACCTGAGACCCAATCCTCCCACTACATACTATGTAACAAATATTCATGTGTACACCTTGAATTTAAAATTATATAAAAAGAAATAGGGCATATAATGACAAAAGACTTAGCATGTTCCACTAAGTCCTGTTCCTCCATGTACCTTTTAATAAACAGCAAACCAAGAGATACAGAATATAGATGGGTCCTGCCCTCCAATGGAGATGGAGGGCAGGAGAAATGCAAAGGAGGAAATATAGCTTCATAAATTGTTCCTGAATCTGTCCCTGCTTCAATGCTAACTAACCTGCATTGACTCACCCCTTAGGATGACTCATCCCCAAGAAATATCATACAAGTACCTTGTCCAAGAAATATCATACAAGTACCTCATCTTGGACGGGTTATGGAAAGCACCTCACCCTTTTTTACCATGACCTCCAGTAGCCTAAAAGGTTGGGCATTTGCTGTTTCAAAGTTGTGCATGAACTTTAGCTGACTACATAGTTGCAGGCTGTTATTTTGCAAAGTTTTGACGAACTTCCTTTGTAAAACTTACCTGTCATGTCTTACCATCTTACAAAATTCCAACTATCTTTTCCAATTACTTACTGATGAGTGTCTAATAGTATTATAAATAGCTGAAACCTGAAGCAATCTAATCCTAATAATGCTTCTTGTGCATTAATTTTTATTTAATTTATTCATTTTTCCTGTGTGAAACCTGATTTTTATTCAAACAAGTCTAAGGTTTGGGATGTTTCTGTGCTTGCTTTTATTTTTTTCTTTGGTAATAGTTATCATTTTATATTGAGAGCTACTCAATAAAACTTGACTTTGTCATGCACATCTAATTCTTATTTTCTTGATGGAAACTGAGGTTCACAGAGTTAGACTCTTACCCAAGATCACACAACTAGTAAGTGACAGACTCAGGACTCAACAACATGTCTGACTGATTCAGAGCTTATTTTTTTCCTTATGCCACCCTTCATGAATATAATAATCAAACCGACATTTGTCAAATGTTTCAACTGAGGGTATATTTCTAAATTATTTTAAAAGTATACCAATTATGAAGCACTAGTTTATCTCTTGAATTCAATGAAAGCAAATACATAAAAATATAAATGAAGGTAACTGTCAACCCCTGGAAATGCTTTACTATTCGCAGGCTCTAAAAAAGCATGTCTTGGATTACAACCTAGCTGTCAGAATGTAATTTGTCAGCATGGAACGAACTTACCAGGATAAAAAGAACAAACTAATCGTTTTTTTTAAAAAACGAAGTTCCCAATTTCCCATTTACACAGAGAAACCCAGAAGTTGCCATGGCAACCAGAAAACATTTGCAAAACAAAGTCTGAATATGTGGGACACAAAGTGGAGTGTTCTTTCCTTTCATTTTCTTTACCCACAGCCAGGATTTTAAGGAAAAGTTATTAAGAGTAGCTTCATCCTCTTCTTATTTATTCAGAACTCTTAAATAATTTCTGCAATCCTACCAGTGTTTTGAATAAAACCATGTCCTTAGGATAAATTTTTTAAAAGTTGACTTGTTGGGCCAAAGAGAATAAATACGTAAAAGCTGAACTGTGTGTGACCCAGCATCAAACTCCACCAATAGCAACTATAACCTGAGTCCTTTTTGTCGTATCAATGAAATATTTCTGTCAATTAATAAAATCTAATTGAATAAGACATTCTGCATTTGATAGGCCACGCACAGTCCCACAGATGGGACCATTTGTACCCTTCCTTGAGGGCAAAGCCACACCCATGGTCTAGGGCATTCTGTGCCCAAGTGTGGTCCTAGGAAAACCTGCATTAGAATACTCTGTGGTGCTGTTCCTTGGATTCCATTTCTGGTTGATGGATTCAGAATCTGCAATGGAGCCCAGGAATGTGCATTTTAGCATTTTAAATGTGCTCAGGCTAAAGATGAGAGCAGTATGAGTTTTACCATTAAAAAAACTGGTTGAGGCTGTGGCTCAGCCTGTAATTCCAGCACTTTGGGAGGCTGAGGCAAGTGAATTGCCTGAGCCCATGGGTTCAAGACGCACCCAGGCAACTTGACGAGACCTCGTCTCTATAATATGTCAAAAATTAGCCGGATGTGGTAGCGCATGTCTGTAGTCGACAGAATGAGACTCCAACAAGAAAGAAAGAAAGAAAGAGAGAAAGAGAAAAAGAGAGAAAGAGAGAAAAAAGACAGCTGGTTGAAACTCACTCCCAGAGAGAGTCAATGAGCAGGTTCATACTCCACACCCTGGTCAACACCACAAAATGTGTAAGTTCTGCCAATTTGGTGGGAAAGAAAAAAAAAGTCTTGTTTTAATTCACATTTTTGGTTGCCAAATTATTTTGTATCTCTATTAACCATTTACATTTCTGTTTTTGTTCATTTCTTCTATTTGTGTTTCTCCCGGAATATTAGGGTAGGTCTAACTGATTTGTTCACTCCATGAAGGCTATAGCTTTGTCTTGCTCACTGAACATCTGTGCACCTAGAAATAGAGCCTGATATGTAGTAGGTGCTCAGTAAATAATTATCAAATGAACAAACATTAAAGATAATATCTTTTTTGCTTTTGTCATATACTTGGCAAATCTTTTCCCATTTTAAATTTTTTTAATATTGGCAAATCAATCTTTTTATTTTATGGTTTCCTGCTTTTGATGTTATGTTTAGAAATACAGTTCACTGATGAATAATGCTAATTGCTAGAAAGTGGTTTTTGTTGTTTTGTATTGAGATTTGATGCCCAGTAACCCTCCACCCCATTGTTCCCAGTTTGGCCTAGGACATGGAGAGGGCTGGTCAGGTTGCAGTGAATATTTATTTATTTGTTTATTTGTTTATTTATTTATTTATTTTAAATTGTAAATTGGCAAATTATAGTTGTATATACTTGTGGGGTAAAAAGTGATGTTATGACCTGTGAATACAATGTGGAATAATTAAGCCAAGCTAGTTAACATATCTATCACCTCAAATTAATACTATTTTTGTAGCGAGGAGTTGATCTCATCAGAGACTGGACCTAAACCTTGGGGAAAAAGCTATGCTGAATTAAAATATG